TCCGTCAAGCGGGTTACCTGCGATGAGAGTCTGTCCAAAGCAAAACCTATTTGGAGATTAATCATCATGTTGAGACAATGATGCACCATCGTCATGGTACAAAGCTTTGCTTTGAAAAATTTACACAGCATACAACATTATCAAGATTGTAGGCTTGCAGAGTCTGTATCTCCACCGACAAACTAGCCATTTTATACTATTTCTGAATTGCTAAGACCAAGCCACATGCATTTCACATGTAGCGCTGTTGTGATTGATCTGTACAGTCCATTAATCGCAAATGATATGCTGGTAATGTAGTGGACAACCAATGCCATTTCGCATTCCACAGTGCGCCAGTAGCCAATCCATGGCAGCTTATCTTTTAGAAAGGGGCGTCAAGTGTGCTAGAAAACTATGCAGGTGTCTTGGACACTAATAATTCTTAAACTACGTCAAATTATGATTTTGTGCAATTGCAATTCAAGACTAGTTTAGATTCTGAAGATGATAAGAGCAGAAACAACTTTGCCAGAAAGTGACCTACCTAAGAAGTTTGCATAGTTGTCGTTGTGCTGCGTGTCTGCATCCTTCCAGTTGTGTGGCCAACCGACCATGATGGTGTTCGGTCGGAGGCCCCCGATTCCGATGCTCTGTACTAGCGTGCTCACGTTTTCCGACAGACGGTGACACAGAACCACGTTGGTAAAACCTTTGACCTTCGCTTCGGCCATCGCGTTCTTCAACTTCTTAAAAATAGAAAGCGCGTGTCCACGGTTAGAAGTACGGTTCATCCGGTGACGAGCATCGCAAAGCTTACCATCCGTACTTCCTGCGCGTACTTCTGGTCTTCCGGCTGAGCCGGATCTCCCTCGATCATCGACGCTACGATCGTCAAACCTCGACCGGCTTTCAACTGACTGGCTAACTGCAGCATCTTCATGTTTACCTCGTCACGTCTTTCGTCGACCTTAAGCAGAACCAACAGCTGTGGCCTAAATCAACAGAGTACAAACATCAATCCGTTTCCATTCTATACTACAATCCATAATGCAGTAGCACAGCTGAAATTACTTTACTTTCAGCTCTGTTAATAGCCATTAATACTTCGTAACTGGAACAGCGAGCCTATCCAGAACAAGGAATGTTCCCTTCGGCAGAGTAAATGGTACTGCGTTAGAAACAGTACCATTTGCAACACTGTTTGTGCGAGTATCAGTGACTGTGCTATTGGTGGTGTTGCTAGTGCGACTACAAACAGTAGTTATTAGTATTCCTGAATCTAACAGTAATCAGTAATGCCATCATTAGAAACATTTAACAGTCTGTTCCAATAGCATTACCAGTGCTAGGTTAGCACTAAACGCTGTAACGGTAAACGCTGTAACTACAGAATTACTTAAAATGTTATTATAGTTTAGAATAACTAGTACTAGCGGAAAAATTATTTTTACTTATGATTACCAGATGCAATACTGACAGCAGAGAACAACCGTTGGAGTACAATACTTCTAAAGCCTACAATAGCTGAGGTAGTACTTCCTAAAACAGCAATAGTTCTGCTGGTATCACTTACTGAATTAGTACTGTGTAATGCTAATCCTAGAAGCAAAGTACATAAAGTAGTTTTGCTAGTTTTTTGCCGTTAGTAGAAGTAATTAGCGAACGAACGACCAAATGGACAAAACTACCTTCAGAAAATGTAAATTTAGCAACAATAATAGAACCACTCACAGCACTACTTTTAGGAATAGTACAGCCACTACTATTCAATCAGTTTCAAAACTACTTATGCTAACTGGTACTGCTGGCGCAAGACAGGCAACGTTGGAGTCTGTCTGACGTGACCCGAAAGGATAAGCGACCCTAAAACTGACTGATAGTATCTATTATGTTGCTCGAACTACAGCTGCTAAAGTTAACACAGCGAGAAGCAATAGTAAAGTTAGTAGGGGTATCATTAATAGTGCTAACTACAGAAATAATAGTACCAACAATAGAACCATTATACATAAAAACAAACTGATCTTATGGGCTTACTAGCATACTCCTAATTTCCGATACCGCCGCTAAGAGAAACAAAGTTTTCTCTATTGATACTGTATTTAAACGG